CATCGAATTCACTACTTAAAGGCTTGTTCAATAAATTATGAAAGTCATGTTTCCAACGCTGTAAGACATCTCCAGGGTCTCTCGAGAATCCACTGTCCGTTTCTACTTTCATTGGTATTGAACTTTGCCTTTCATTAGCGATTCCAATTTTTCCAAATTGTTTCCAAAAATCTTGTTTATTGGCTGATTCGTAAAGGTTCAGTAATCGATCCTGTTCATGTGATTGATGCAGTCTCTTAAACCTACGGTTTGTTTTATCAAACATGTCTCTTACCTCACAGAATTCCTTGCGCAGTTTTCTTTTAGAACAGTGTTCGTTACACTTGATCCAAGCCTTTTCCTTGTCACAGACTGATTTCCATAGTTTTGAAAGTTCGTCATTCCAGTGAGGTTTGTGTAAGCTTTTCCCCTTTCTTGATGAACACGATGATGTCTTTAGTTGTGGCACTCGTTGCTTCAGTTCAGTTTCGATAATATCTACAAAACTGGAATAAGCTTTCGATTGTCAGAAAGCTCTTTTTCTAGTCCAATAATTATTTCTTCTACACCGCTAATTTTTGTAAGAAAGTCTCTTAGTATTTTACGAGTGTCATATCGTATAGTTTTATTCAGCACTGGAAAATGATCTGCATTCGAGGTGGCGTTTTGTACATCAATTGTCCAGATTATAGGTCCATGGTCAGGAACCAACTTTTCAAACTGAATTCCACATAGGTTTATTAAATCAGACATAAGATAAACACTGCACGATTTACAGTTTGATAATTGTTCATGAGTTGTAATAGCATAATCAACCACAGATTTTCCTCGTTTAGACAAACACGTAAAATTATTGGAACCATGCTCACCATATACTCTCCCATTTAGCATACATAAATTACAGCTTGTCAAAAAGTCAATAAGTTTATCTCCATAAAGGTTACTTGTAGTATCAATTATGTCTCTGCCTGGTATATCATCCACCCCAGCAATAAAATCCTGTTCGTCACCACATCGTGCATTAAAATCACCCGCCATATATAGTATTCCTTCATTTTGAAAACAGTAAACTTGTTGCAAATATAGATCATTAAAAAAAGTGTCTACGTCCCCTGCTCGACTAGAGTCGGAAGGTGGAACGTAACAGGCACAAATACACAGGTCACTATTACGAAGAGTCTTATGCGATAGTTTTAACCACAAAATGTCTTCTTTAGAACCATCCAATGCATCATATAGTCCAAGTATCTCAGAATTCACCAATATTCCAACCCCTCCTGAACCTCTCTTCGCGTTTCTATGCAAATCTGTCCTGTTTCGACCAAACCAATCAAAACCGGGAATATTTAATTTATCGTTTCCTTTTAAAAATGTTTCACATACACATAATATATCCACTTTAAGAAACTTAAGCACTGTCTCACGAATTAAAAAATTATCAGAAAAGTTAAAACGTGACCACCCATTCACATTCCAAGTACCAAGCCTGATGTTGTCCTACCTTCTAGTATACGTACTAGTGACATGTCGAGTAATTCGTCCCCCAACAACCCTGTACTCCCTATCACCACCAACTATTTTCAGAATGTTCATCAAATTATAGTTACTATTTCTTACATCTTGAGGTAAATCATGTTCTATGTACACTCTATAGAAATCCTGAGTTTTCTTCAGCCCTGGTTTAGCTTTCATTATTCTTTGTTTTTGATCAATGTTCTCAACAGTAGCTACGATAGGGTTAATCCTGTTGTTGTTCTCACGTGTTTGTATTCTTGACGCGTGAGTAATTTTGATATTTTTCAGTCCCAATACTTCAGATACAAGGCGGTCAACGGTGTTCACTACTAAGTTCGAATCGTTCACCTCAGCCTGGCAGGGCAGGAGATTTTTAATCACTATATTCTTTGTCCGACTGCTCTCTACGTTCTGGTCGACTGGTTCCCTGGTCATTTTCAAATTCTCAATTTTATGTTCTATTATTTTAATGTTTTCAGAAATTTCTGCCTTCATAATTGTCACTTCTTCTGTCACACGATTCTTGACACTTTCCTCGATTTTAGCATTAATAGATTGTGAAATTCTACCTACTATTTTCTTTTCCAGATTATCTTCTAAATCATCTATCCTCGTGTTTAATTTCTTAAAGGAATCCTGCATACTATTAGCAAACTTCATAAATTGTGCGTTGAATCCTTCAGATGATTCTCCGTCCCTTTCAAAACAGCTCTTACCCTTCTTTCGCCCCCTGAATGCTCCAGACGTGTCCTCAACATCACTATCATCGGAGTAAAATCTTTTCCCACCGTATTCTGATCACTTTCGGCGGTGTGTGAGTTAGCCATTACTTCTCTGACATATTCATCGGCGATTTCGGCACACAGTGGTTCGTTATCCATTATGCTGTACACAATATCAAAATCCAGACACTTTAAAAGTTATAAAGTTAAAAGAAGCTCAACTTAAACTAAAAGATTTATATCACGGTTGATTGAGTTCCGGAGCTCACTAAGACACGTCCGCTCTCTACAACGTCTAATCTAATATTTAGTTATGCTGATTTTTTTTTACCGTTGGCAGTTATTACAGCTGGTGAAGCTGTTTCAACAGCGTCTATTTCATAACTAAAGTTTCTGGTTTCATTTTTAAGGGTGTATTTTTTACTCAATTCTTATCATTCTTCTATCTGCTATTTTAATAAAATGTTTTGCTTCTTCCAATAATAAACAATAACCTGTTACATCTCCTTGTGTTTTTTCAATATGAATATTTATGTTGACTCCTGTTTTGAAAAGATCTTCTTGGTGAGCTGATAGATCAAAACAGAAGATTGGATGATTAAGTGCAAAATCTACATATTCAAACTGAGGTGGATTTCCAAATAATTCACACATGTTTTTATAGTTTCTATACAATTCATTATAATCCTTTGTAGTTGGATTAATTGTCAAAGGTTGGTTAGGATAATTATCGTTGTTTAATCTTACTTGAACTTTATGGATTATAGGATCTTGAGTTTGGTTCATTGCCACTCTGAAGACATTATTGTTATTCGTTTGAGAATCTGCTAAGTTCTTGAAACCAACCATTAAATATCTTGCTGGTTTAATAGTGTTAGTGATTGGCCACGTGGTGGATTCTCCAGTTAAAGTCACACTACCTACCGTATTACGACGAAGAAAAGCTATTTCAATATCTTTAGTTAACGAGTTGAATATTCTCGTTTCTACTTCAATTGATGGTGTTATTACGGGTATAAAAAGTTGGAGATTCGTTATTTCTAATTTTGCATCTGAACCATTCTCTCCAAAGAATATCTTATCATCGTTGATTTCTCTTTGTATATGAATGTTATATGGTAAGCCTATGGAAACTTTTCTGTGTTCCAACAGACCGAATAAAGAATATAATTTCCAATTTACGTAATTACCCCACCTATTATTCTCAACAATATTATTGAACTGAAGTACTCGTTTTTCGAATCCATGATTTAGCTGCTCGTGCTACTCTTTCTATCGTGTGTCGAGCAACAACTCTCACTCTATCTAAATCAGCATCATTTCCTACCGGTTCTTTTAAAACAATTCCATCACCAACATCGGGTATCCAACCCGAGACTGAATCGAAATCTTTAGGATATAAAACTGTTTTCAACATTGTGTCGAATTCCCCAGGGTGTTTAATTGTTTCTATCGGATTTGAACCAGCTTCCAAAACCATTTCGCTAAATAAAGATGGAAAGAAATTGTTTCTAACGTTGCATCTGTTTGTGGTACACGATTTTCATTGGGAGTTCCATCTTTTATTTTGAAATCGCATCTGAAATAAGCACCGGAAAGAAGCAACCAATTCGATAATGAATTTATTTCGAAGGTAATTCTACCTCCATCATTCAATTGGGATTTAGAACCAACAGTCTGTGAGATGATAATATAATCCTCTTTTTTCTTGTTAAACGAATAACGAATCGGATCGTATAATCTAAAGATTGGATCTAGTATTTTATTTGCCATTTTTAAGGTTTAAAATTTGAGTAGAAAATTGTGTTTCCAAAAAAGAGTTATCTCCCTTAAAAATAACATTACTTAAACGAGGCTATTAAAAATGTTATGTTATTTTATATAAGGGTATTTTTAATATGCTTTTTTGATGGAATGTAGGAAATTGATTGAAGGTGTTTTTTGGTGTATGGGTGTTTAGGTCTTTTTTTAAGTGTAAGAATTTATGAAATGTAGGGTATTTTTTAGTGTAAGAATTTATGAAATGTAGGATGTTTATGTGTAAGAATTTATGAAATGTAGGGAATTTAGGTCTTTTTGGGTAGCTTATATATTGGTCGCATTTTCCCTATGTAATGAAATGGAATGGGGAATTCCCATGCGACCAATCTATAAGCTCATACACTACTTTTAATAAGGGCTTTAATAATCTGAAGGTGGTAGGGTGGTATATTTCAAGGTTTGAAAATAAAATGCAAATTTCTTAAAACTTTGAATGCTTCTTATTCAAGAGCTTCACCTCAGATGGAGTTGGAATTTACAATTAATTATTATTGACTACAGCTTTCATGTGATTTTTTTTTATCTTTTTTATCTATGTCCGACACGTGGTTCCTGTATTATGAGTGTCATCAAACATTCTAGCAAATATCCGAATAGAGATAGATCAATAATTCTTTCTGATTCATTATGCTATGTAACATAATATGTCGAAACTCCAACCGAACACTGTGATTAAATAACATAATAATAGTTGTGGGATAAACACACTTCTTTAATACATGAGTACATAACGTTTCATCCCATAAATCTTATGTTATATATATGACAGTAAGTTCTTGCAGGACATGTATCCAAAGCTCCAAAATCTGTGCTCAGAACCCATTCATTAAATTAATTTAATTTAAGTGTACAATTTTGATTTAAAGAATTTCACATTTTCAGTGGAAATGTATTTACATTGATTCTTGAATGTAATGAAAAAAATTTAATTTTTAAAAATTTAGTCTCAAATTACGAAGTAAATTAATCCAAATTTTGTAAAAAAAAAAAAGAGGTCTCAAAGCATAGATTAAATTGTTTTGTGTTTGAATATTATTTAAAGAAAAGATTGTATGAATGCAGGTGATGGCAAATGTTGCAAAAATATAATTTATTTGGTGCATTCTGACATATATTTTGGTGGAAAAAGTATAAATAAGTATCAAATCCCCCCTTTTGTACCACTTCTGTCACTGCCACTGCTTCATCGCGGAGTCTTCGAATTTAATGGTTTAGTAAATTTATAAAAAAAGTAATAAACTTACTTACCTTGGTGTACATAAAAGTACATCTTGGAAGGAGCCAACATTTATGCTGTATACAATACTGTTGGTTTATTTTCATTGTTTCCATCTTGAAAATGGCAACAGCAAATTCTGTCGTTTGAATTATAATCCCTGTCTGAAATCTCTTCTGAAATGGAAAATATATTTCAATATAATAATATTAATTAAAAGTACTATATTTACATGTTGCTGGTTCAACATTTTCCAAATATTATTTTGAAACTTTCAAAATGAAAAAATGAAAGTAGGTCTAGTAGGCTGGTCGTCAAAGATAAAATGCCTGATAAACTTATCACTTAAAATCAGAAATGATTTTCAGACATAATTTTGATTGAATTCAGGGAAGTGTATTTCTATAGTCGATGTAACATTACAACTGATGGCAAAACAGCACAACATTTGTGTTTGTATCCGGAAGTCGTAAAACGAAAGTTGACGCCAGACAAGACTTTTGGTGCTAATAAATTTGGTTAAACTAAAAAATAAAATCTACATTTTGTGGTTTTAAAGTATGTAAACAATATGTGTTTTACAACATAGATACCAGAACAATTGGTTTGACATGAAGTTGTGAAACCTGTGAACAAGAGAAAAATTTATTGTTGGCCTATGGAAGATTATAAAATACCTCCATTTAAAGCTGTGAATTCGCAAGTTGGAATTATTTTGCTATCTTAATTAGAACTCAAACTACAAATAGTTTATACTATACTATTAAAATATCTAATACCAATAATGCCGAAGAGTACAATAGAACTGTAGTCAGAGGCCCCTCAAGGGAATAATCCAAAACGGTTTCTTCATGAAGGTTGTCTCAGAAGAGATGCCATGGTCGCTCAATTGATTCATTTTGATTTCACGGAAAATAAATTGACATTAGTCTTGTCGAGTAATGAAGGTAGTAGCTTATATAATATCAATTTATCAGTAGTAAACTATAATGAAAAGTTTTAGGGGTGGGCGGGGGGGTGACTTTCTTGTGGTTCTGAAACCACATTCTGAAAAAGGTTGTCGCGTGAGAAGGTTTTATATTTTCTCTTATAAACCTAGGTTTGCAGACGATGTAAATTGGAGTTTCTATTTAATACGAATGGATTATCAAATCATTTTGCGTTCTTACTTGGTTATATACAACCATGGATCAAAAAACAAGGATCAATTACAATTTCATTAAATTAAATTTGGAAATCCTTCATTAAATAGACTGTTGATTAATTGTAGATATGTTGATAAGCATCTGCTTCTTGTTTTGTTTTTCCCAACCATTAGCCTAGGGAAAAATATTAGCTCAAATGAGAATTAGCCCTGAAGAGAAAGAGCCCAACCGGATAGTCAATTTTATTAATATAAGGTTGCCAATTATTGGTATTGTAATAATTACATGTACAACAAAGTTTTTATTGCGTTAATAATTCGGGGCTTTTCCAAAATCATCAAAATTTAGGAATCTTAATTTCTTGTTCACAAATGTTATGCTGATTTTAATATCATAAGATTGTTTTTTTAACATTTCCGAAGGGTGAATCTTTAATAATACGTCAGCAGTGAAAATTTGCAATGGTTTAATTTTTGGGGGACTATATGGCCAATACAAATTAAAAGGCCACTTAAAGTTACCGATAACATAGACGTTAGGCCAAACCAAGACGATATTGGGGTCTATAATATATATGTTGCTCAAGTTCTAGTTTCGATTTTGCCTTCTTTTTTATTTCCACTTGAATTTTCACAGTAACTGTAACATTTATCTTTTTACATATTTCGTGACCTAGACTTTTGGTGACCTTGTAACCTGAACAAAAGTCGATTCCCCTGATTAAATCTTTCAAATGATATCTTCACCTTTATTAAGGGATGGTTGGTTGGTAGATGACAAGTTAACGTTCTCTTCCAGCGCATGCTGATATCGCAAACTATTTGTTAAACGATGTTTAGTGTCGGTTTTATAGCTTTGTTTTTTATAGCCATTTTTTTACTTTAATGATCTCTCACTTAACTCAATTTACATAATATGTCAAAAGTTCGCCTTAAATCTTATCACGCTAAATCTTTTCTTTCCAATGATATCTAACACCAAATATTTAAATAAAAAAAAATCCGCTTTTTAATATTTGAAATTGTTTTGATTTGTACGTTTGTTACTTTGCTTTACAAGATATTAGATAACCTTTTGTAAACCTCATAATAGGGTCTCATTTGCGTGATTTTAGACCATCAATTGCGCAAAAAAATATGCACTTGGATTTAAACCTTTTGTTTTCCTTTCTTCCAAATCTTTTTGTTTGTTTATATTCGGCAATTGTAAAATCTTTGAAGACTCAAATCTCGTAACCTTTGGTGACGTTGTGACGAAGGAGGGTAGCATTGGGGATTACGCCCCTCGAGGCAAGATGCCTAATCGGGATAACTCTAAGGTTAATCATTAGATGGCGTTTTTATACGCCCACATGAAATGGGGGGCGTATATTGCCGTCACCTCTTTCCGTCGGTCCGTCCGTCCGTCCACAATTGCTCGTAAACACTCTACATGGCACAATTCTTGACTGGATCGACGAAACTTCGTATGGTTGTTTGTAATCAACCAAGGAGAACCCTATTGAAAATCAGACGAATCGAAAAATATTTACTATGAGTTATTGTCCTTGTTCTTGAAACGCTCGTAAACACTCTAGACGGTGCAATTCATGACGGATTTTGATGAAACTTGGTATGAGTGTTTTTTATCGCCCAAGGATAAACCCTATCGAAAATCATAAAAATTGAAAAAATATTCAGTATTAGTTATTGCCCTTGTTCTTAAAAACGCGTTCAATTTTTAGTTCGTAAACACTCTAGAAGGGACAATTCTTGATGGATTTTAACGAAACTTGGCATGAGTGTTCGTAGATTGCAGATCATAAAACGTTTGTACCAGTTTTCATCTACTATTTGGTGTGTGTGTGCAAGTTTTGATTATTGCAATGTTATTCGTTTTAGCCCCAATGTTTCAAGTATTTCTTATTTATCTGTCATCATCAGGGCGAGACGACTCACGCTTAAGGTTTTAACGGATGCCCTATCAAACTAAGTAAAGTGGTTGCTATATAAAGTCACTATTAATAGATAATTATTTTATCTCTTGCATTTTTCAAACTATAACACTTAGACCCATAGGACTATAAAACTAAGACCCATAAGAATATAAAGCTAAGGCCATAGGACTATAAAACTAAGACCCAACTATAAAGCTAAGACCCATAGGACTATAAAACTAAGACCCAACTATAAAACTTAGACCCATAGTAAACCCCCTTATTTCTTTATATGTTCTTTGCAACAAGATATATGTGTACAAATATTTTTACAAAAATTCGATTTTTAATTTTCTGATTGACAGGCCTATGAAATTCACTCA